GGGAGATCATCGGATTTAATGAGATTTTCATAGAAAATGTGATCTCCAAGTGGCGCGCTAAAACACCACGCCGCACTTGCAAAGCGATGGGCGGAGCGTCGGTGTGGGGAGGCGGGAATCAAAGTACGCAAACACCGAGTCTCACTTTTTTTTTCCGACAATAAAACGAGACAACTTTGGCAAAAAACGCCGAAATTTTGCCGCCGTTTTTCCGCCGCCGCGCCGCCGGCGTTTGTTTTTCCCAGCCCTGGTTGGGACTTAAATTCTCTGGTATCATCTGGGTGCATTTGGAGTGCAGTCTGCGTCTCTCTACCCTCCCCTTCTCGCACAGCTTTTCACCAAGCAAATCGATTCTGAGAAACATGCACAACGTGGTTTTCGTTCTCGGTCCTCCAGGATCTGGAAAGGGTACTATTTGCGCGAAAATCCAGGAGGTTGGTTGAAAATTTTTTCTCAATTTCACTGAAGTATAAATTTTTAGAATCTGGGTTACGTTCACCTGTCCGCTGGAGACCTTCTCCGAGCTGAACGCCAACGGGAAGGAAGCGAGTTCGGCGCTCTCATCGAACAGCACATCAGAAATGGATCGATTGTGCCGGTTGAAATCACTTGTGCACTTCTTGAAAACGCTATGAATAACAGTGGAGATGCCAAGGGATTTTTGGTTGATGGATTCCCAAGAAACGAGGATAACCTACAAGGATGGAATAAGCAAATGACCGGAAAAGCGCTGATTCAATTTGTCTTGTTTCTCTCGTGCCCAGTTCCAATCTGCATTCAGAGGTGCCTGAATCGTGGCCAGGGTCGTACCGACGACAATGAAGAATCGCTCAAAAAGCGTGTCGAAACATACAACCATCAGACGTTCCCAATCATTGAGCATTTTGAAAAGAATGGCTTAGTCAGAGAGGTAAAAAGCGAGCGTTCAGTGGAAGAGGTAACTTTATCTGATAGTTTTTCAACATTCAATCTATTTTCTTTTTAGATTTATGCCGACGTCGTTGAAGTGTTCAATCAGACTGCAAAGGTTTAATCACCGTGATCTCTGATCTTTCATAATTAATTTTTCATGACATAATTAGATACCTTCTTACAATTTTTGTGGTTTCAAATGTCTTTAATAAATCATTTAGCGGATAGAAAGTGTTACAAAACATCAAGTTTCAATGTTTTCCACTACAAAGTTATATTTAGAAGTGACTCCTAACTTCTTTGGCATGCTACGAATCCTTTTACAGAAAGTCAATATGAATAGAAGCTCCGTTCTCAGTGCAATCGCAGGAATGTGTGGAGCGTTAGGTGCTGTTTCTGGAAAATTAGCTTTTGATTCAGAAATCGGCGATTATACAGTAGGCGTGTATCATTTTGGATGACTGTGACTGCTCAAAATTTCAGAGAATTTCTTGTTTTGCTGTATTCATCGCTTCGAATTTGGCCATGTGGGCAACGTACACTCGAGCTCTGACATTATCCGATTCCACAACTTCTCCAATGATTGTCAACACAGCCTGTAACTTCGCTCTTACTGTAATGATGAAAAGCTAAGAATTGAAACAATTTCTGATTTCAGGGAATCCTTGGAAATCTTATATTTGGCGAGTCACATTCCTATATGTGGTGGTTCTTTCTTGCAGTCCTCATCACGGGACTCACTATGATGCTCAGCCCGAGTAGTAAAGATTCGAAAGAAGAGTAAACGATGTGAATTAAAATAATATAAAGTACATGCACATTAGTATCTTTACTGTAATTGAATGAACGAAATTTATTTGAATACTTAAAAGACAGCAACATGCTTTCAACAAATTCTACAGAAGGAAAGCTGCATGAGATCTGGATTTCCAGACAATAACAGATACGATTCGAGACGAGACCGGAATGCAGGAAGATGATCAAAATGTGCCAACAGCGTTGATTTCAGAGTTGTACCCACTAACCTAAAAATTTTGAAATTATTTTTATCGTTGTTCCTTCCAAAGTCTTACCGGAGTTGAATCCATTGGCTCTGTGAAAGCATTAGTGCTGCGGAGAGCATCGTAAATTTTTGTCATGTCAACCACTTCAATATCTCCCTTCCGAATCTTTTCTCTCAGTTGCATCAAAATCACTCCCAGCACATTGCGTCCTTGAGCAAAAACTGGACAGTGCTGAATAGTAGTCTCGTTCAATGGAAATTCCGCTGGAATTCGGATAGTCTTGATAGCGCTCTTTTCTAAATCACTGAGCCATTTTTTGATTGCCGGGACGCCGCAGCCGGTTCCGTAAATACTGTCCCGAGGATAAGCGTGAACAAGAATTTGATCGCCACTTTCTTTCAAAGCTTCTCTCAAATGAGCGGACTGCGAAGCTTTTGCGAGAAGTGCTTTCTGAACGGCTTCAAGCCCTTTTGTGTTTCTCCACTCGTCCACTTTGCTCTTATCAACCTGAATATTGAATTAAATTGATAAATGATTTCATATTCTCCAACATACATTAGCTGTTTTTAGAATTTCTTTAGCGATTGCACTGTGTGCTTTCTTCTCCTTCTCAACTGGCGCCTCAAGAATCGGTTTTCCGTTTTCATCACGAACATCGCTGTTCAATTTGTCGCTGGAGATTCCGGACAAATCGATGACCTTGCAAATCTGATAGTAATGATCGCAGCTCTTGTAAATATTGTTGTCGATAAGAACAGGGAACTGAAAACCAAAAATTCTCGCATCTAGTGATTATGAAACATGGTCTTACGTTGTGTTGGGTAGTGAAAACACTGTCGAATCCGTGAAAAGCAAGAATGTTCTCGGCTGAAACTGTGAGAGTAATTGCGGGCGAATCGTCTGGGAGATGCACGTATTTGATGTCATCCTTGTTGTTAGATGGTTTTGGTGGGCCATGGAACCTTCCTCCTCTATGTGATCCGCCACGGCCACGTCCTCTAAAACCGCCTCCTCTTCCTCCGTGGTTTTGATAACCATTCGTTTCCCAGCCGTTTCCCTGTAGACGATAGTTCGGCATATTTTTGTTTTTTCCTATTCCTCTTGCTGAAAACAAATTATATTTAAATGAATTTAAATAACTACTTACGACTTTGAATCGTTTTCGGATTTCCGCGAGCCACTTTGTCAGCTGGTATCGGAGCAGGCTCCGCAATTTTCGAGACTGTTGGCTTTTCGCTTGAATTCGGATTGATAGTCACCAGATGAAACCTGTTATTGTTCCAAGTTTTCTTTCCACGGCGATGGTTTTCGTAGCGGCGGTGACGTTGTGTTGGAATTCGACCGGACTTCTGAGCAGAAGTCGATGTGCTCGTTGGGTGGTATGGAGCCGCTTCGTAGTCCTGTCAAAAGTTAAGTACATTATCAAACTTTTAGGTTATTTTGCGAGTGGAAGGAAAAAACAGCGAAAGTGGGGCCGCTTTTTCACATCTTCCGCTCTTTTTTCGAAAAAATTAAAAAATAAATTAACCTGGGCAGAAGATGAGAAAAAGTTCGTAGTCCCATTGAGTGACGGGTAAGCTGGATTATACTGCTGAAAAAGGCTCGATGTGTACTAATTTTGGTAAAATCGGCTAAAACCTCATGTGGCGATTGAGAATATTGCTCCTCAGAACGCCAAGTACCAGCAGCGCTACTGTTGTAGTCGTAATAGCTGGAGCCCCAAGGAAGGGAGTTATGATATGACATTGCTTATGGGGTTTTCGACAGAAGAGAACAATTTGAAATGTTTTATCAACTGCTTTAACGAGTTTTACAGCCACAAACAACAACTTTGGCTAAAAAATGGATGAAAACAAAATTGAAAAATCTTTTTTTTGCGGCAGAGCGCACTTGATGTGAAACCCAAAAATGCGGAGACCCCGCAATTTCCGGGGAAAAAAAATCGGGGAAAAAGTGGGCGGAGTCGGGGGCGGAGCCTAAAATGCAACCCTGGCACGGTTTTGCCGCAGGGTTTTTCTGCACATTTGGGCACGGTCATGAGGGGGCGGAGCCTAAATTGCAACCCTGGCACGGTTTTGCCGCACGGTTTTTTTTCGACTCCGCCCACTTTCCCCGGTTTTTTTTCCCCGATTTTTTTCCCCGGAAATTGCGGGGTCTCAAAATGCGCGCAAATTCAAATATGGAAATTTCTTGTTTGCGGACAGACATGATATAAATTTAACTCCAACCAATGAAAAACAGTTGGGTAATCGAAATTTAAGAAACGTGCCGGTAACTGTAGATCCCAAAAGTCGAGCTACTACTATAAAATTGTACATTTTCCGACTATCTTCAGTTTAGGTGAATGATATTATCGTTGTCCGAAAAAAAATGGTTAGCGTGAAAAGTTTAAAAAATGGTAAAAGAGAATATCTCGAAGCGAAAAACAAAACAACAGAGATAAGGTTGAGACTCACAAGGGAAGGTTTTTCAGACAACAGTTGAGAATTTGCTCAAAATTCGTACAAAGGTACTTTCGAACATGCTGAATCCGAATCCAAAAAGATTTTTAGCCCGTTCTCAAAAGGAGTAGAAATATGGCCTCTGAAAGTGCTTTTAGTACTAAATTTTGGCCAAAAACATGCATTTTTCGAGGTTAAAAATTAGTTTAAACTAAAAAATTAGTTTAATGAAAATTTTCAGTCTTTGCTTGAAAGCAAAACTCATTTTTGGACAATTTTCTATCTTCTAAAGTAACTTTTAAACATTTTCAAAAAACATTTTTTTTGAAAAATTTTGAAACCCCCCACACTTTGAAAAAAAATCACCCCCCACACTTTGAAAATGATTTTTTGGAAATTTTTTGAAAAGTGCGAAAAAACGTTCCGATTATTCAGAAACGATAAAAATAGCATTCTGACAAATTTTTTCAGCCCAATGTTGTCTTTGGGCTCAAAAAATCTCCAAAATCTGATTGTTGTTAGAACTTTGACAGTTCCTAATTTCTGAAATATCGCTTGAACTTAACTGAAACCTATAGCAAGGTTCGAATCTTGTATGTGATCGATTTGACAGTACTCCACCTCAAAAAGAGCAAAATTGAGCAACTTTCAGAGACTGAAATTTTCGTTTTTAACGATACGAGGATGTAAGAACCGGTCGAAAGGACCATTATCTATTTTTTCCTCAAACTCTCATGAAATCTTTTTTTTCTTTGAAAACTTTTGAAATTAATCAAAAAGTGTCATATAATGCCTAGGGGGGGGCAAACTTGGAATCAAAAATTAGTTTTTAAAAATGCTAAAGTTTTACCACAGTGGGGGTCGAACGAGCATAGTCAATCCTAATGAGTCACCCTCTTACAACAACACCACACAACCGATATTTTCCTCTCACGCGGAATTGGTAGAGGAGGGAAGGGGAAGCCGAAATCCCCAGCGCATCGAAATCGGCCCAAATTTTCAGACAAAGTTTTTCGGCCTGGGAGTGAGAACGGGCTAAAATTTTTTCCGTAATCGTATAGAGCATGTCTTAAACTAAGTATGCAAATTTTTAGCAAATTCTCAACCGTTTTCTAAAAAACCTTCCCTCGTCAGATACATTTGCTCTGCATCTTAACCTTTAATGTTTCCCACAAATTTTCAGGCTACGGTAGCTTAACCTCCGGGAATTTCATCCATTTCATCCATGAGTTCGACCGCTCAACGGCCGTCCATGCACAACTCTTATTTTCTTAGACTGGCATATTTGATACCACGCTCGGGACATATAAAAAAGAGTTCAGAAAAACTTTGTTTGTAGATGTTTCAAAATGTCGCAGCGGTCATGTTTAGTAGGTTGACGGAACACATAAAAATTTTCACAAAATTGCACAGTCTCAGATTTCAGAATACAAACAAAAAAATCATAGAAATAAAGAAGTTTAGAGTTTTCCGTAGCACTTGGAAAGTTGGTTGAGATACTCCGAATACTTCTTTGCTCTGAGTTTCTGGAGAGCGATGATGTCGTCTTGCTGCTTTCCCTTTGGAAGATCTTCATCGGCGAGACAGCTAAAATTTTGAAATTTACGAATAATATGAAAGCTTAAATTTCAAGTTACATGTTCTCGCGTTCGCAGTGCTTCGAGAATTTGGTGCTCATTGCGGATAGTTGATCGTGTCCAGCAGTGGAGCAGATGGTGCGACGAATGCGAGAAGCTGGAAAAGAAAAATGTTGGGACAGAAATGAAACGAATTCAGAATACCTTGATGATGTCTACGGAGACGATGATTGTGTCCAGTGTGGTCAACATTTGGGTCGTTAGGATCGTGATCTTCAGATCTACGGCGTCTGTGGTTGTGTCCTGTGTGGTCGATGGTGGTGTCGCTTGGGTCATCTGAAAGTTCATTATCTAGAAGCATACACTGGTTTCGAATTGTTTTGTCATCAGAGAAGCACGAGCTGTCTATACTCTCCGTGCATCCCTGATTGTTATCAGAGATGCTCTTACCATCGTGATTTCTCTTGCGTCTATGGTTATGTCCAGTGTGGTCAATGTTTGGATCATTTGGATCGTGATCTCCGGATCTACGGCGTCTGTGGTTATGTCCTGTGTGGTCGATGGTGGTATCGTTTGGATCGTCTGGATAACACATATAAATAATAGTATTTGTTCGGCTCAGAGTTACCATTATCGCTTCTTCTCATTCTATGGTTATGCCCAGTGTGGTCGATGGTAGTGTCACTTGGGTCATCTAAATAAAAAAGTTCTAAAGTGCATTTTTATCAAATACCCTCACCGTCGTGATTTCTCTTCCGTCTATGATTGTGTCCAGTGTGGTCAATGTTTGGATCGTTTGGATCATGATCTCCAGAACGGCGGCGTCTGTGATTATGGCCGGTATGGCCAATGGTCGTGTCGTTTGGATCGTCTGGAGAAAAAATATTTGTCTGGCTCAAACACAATGTTACCATTATCGCTTCTTCTCATTCTATGGTTATGTCCAGTGTGGTCAATGGTAGTGTCACTTGGATCATCTGAAATTTCACACTTCGTAATAATTCTGAAGACTTCTTTCAAACAAACCGTCGGTATTTCTCCTGACTCTGTGATTATGTCCAGTGTGATCCACATTTGGATCATTTGGATAGTGATCTCCATTTCTGCGTACACGATGCTCTCCATGCTTCTTGTGATCCATGTTCTCGTGATGTTTCTCTCCATGACCGTCGTGGTTGTGATGTCTTCTTCTTCTAGTATGATCATTGGTATCTTGTCCATCAGTTGGATCTCCCATGTCTCCATCAAGCACGGTTCCTAGAACACAGATTATTCTATAGAGACTTAAATTGGTCTCGACAAACCGTCACTTCTTTTAGAGATTTTTGAACCAATCACTTCATATTCTGGCTGCTCATTAATCACACTTTGGTCACTTTCATATAGCTTGTAATCCACATCCTTATGACCTTTTCTTGTGAATCTTTTTGGTCTGCTCTTCTCCTCGACATACTTTCTGCAAGCAGCGACAGCCTCTTTGTACTCATCAGAAATGTCTTGGAATTCCTTCCAGCTCTTCTCCAGCTCATCTTTTGTAGCACACTTGTCCTGTCCGGTTTTCTGGTCATGGCATTCTCTTTCCAACTGCTTCTCTCGCTTGTTAGTGGCCATACGGAGGATGGTGTCAGGGGAACATTCAAAGGCAAAGGTGGAAATGACCAGCAAGCTGGCCAAGAAGGCGATCCGAACGATCATCCTGGAATGAGATATTATTGGTGAACAAAAGTAAAAACCGAGAAAAGAAGGAAAATTATTAATAGATAATAATGAAGAGAACTGTTATCAATAAAGCTGACCGCTGAAAAAGCAAAAGCGGAAAACAAGTTTATCAAAAAACCGAGATTCCTGATAACCACAATTTTTCTCTTCACTCAGTTCACAACTTTCTGATTGAGCTCACCGACCAAATAACATAGAAAAAGTATTTGAAAATTTTTCGGGACACATGAGTGCGCTTTTATTACGACCGGAAGGCGAGCCCATGGTGGTCCACAACTCCACACCCAACTTTTTTGGCAACCGAGAATTCTAAAGATTTCTGGGCAGAAAACGGGCGGTGGACGTGTAATTTGTGTGGGGTGATAATTGGATGTTTTTGAGGAAGAAGAAGAAGAAGAAGCTCTCCGGAGAAAAGCAAAGCTAATAAATTGGAACAGAATGAGAAAAACAATTCGAGATGAATGGAAGGGTGTGTCTGGACTTGCACTTTTATATCAATGTGAAAGTTGGGAAAATGACAGGGAAAATGACAGTTGCCCATCGTTCAGAGAAGATTTCGTGGAATGATGAAAGGCGCCTTTTGACTTCGATTGGCTCAACAACTCACGAACAAAAAGAGAGACCTCATCAATCACAATCTGGGTTGGACCTCAGGATGAGCTCTAGAGCCGACGGGAAGCATTTTCCGAGTTTTAGGGAAAGAAAACAAGATTTATGTATTGAAGAACGGAGGTGAATTCAGAAGGAGCTGAATAAATGCCAAGTTGAATTAAGAGGAGGGGAAAGTTGAGAGGAAGTAAACAAGGTGATGAGAAAAAAAAGAGTAGATGGAAAAAGTGACACATTTTAATTTTCTAGATAAGAGCTAGAATTATTCATGGAAAAAGGGTAAAGAATGTTTGTAATTTTTTGGGAAATTTTAAAATTGTGAAATTTTAATCAAAAACGTTTTACTAGGAAATGGTGCAAATGGGTCATGGAGTTATACCACATAACCTATATCATTGGAAAGCTGATAAAAATTTGTTTATGAATGTGCAATACCCTAAACGATAGACAGCTCGGAGGTCTTAAGTTCTGCTTTCACTACTGTTTTGCTCTATTTCAATAGAGATTTCGGACTTATTCATTCAATGTTCACGCGATCTATCTGCCGCTCAGCAGATCCTGATTGCTTAACCGTGAATAACTTTTTTCTCAGCTTTCCAATGATATTGGTCATGTGCCATAACTCCATGACCCATTCTCACAATTCTCTAGTTAATCAAAAAGTTTTAATCAAAAAAGTCTTAATGAAAGTTTGATTTCTCTAGTTTCAGTAGCTATATCAAGTTTTGACCATCTGTCTCATTTTTCAGAATTAATTATTTATTGACAGATGTTTTGAAATATTCACCTGCATTGATGAAACTTAATTAAAAACTCAGAATATCGGATTCATAGCTCAGCAACAACGTATGAATTTTATTGAGAAGAAAGTAATCAGGATTTTTGATCTGTCAAAAGATGATTAGATGATATTCGCATCCAGTGGGAAAATCGAAAATTCCAATGTTGTATTTTTATTTAAAATGGCTAGAACCAACTAAGCGCTTATATACGAAGAAAAAAAAATGAGTCACCATGAAAATGTCTCGCTTTTATAGTAAACAAATTGGTTTCAATTTTCCGGATAATTGACTGAAATTGGGGGTGCGACTCGTGAGTTTTCTGTTTATGAAAACAGCCAAATTTTTAAATGATTTCAACCAATTTTGCACTAAACTGTTTGTTTACAGTTTTCTAGCTGCCCTACTTCACTAACTGAAAACAAATTTATTGAAATCTTAAGTTTATCTTCAGGACTTATTTTCTTGATTCTCGTTTTGATTACTCCTCGAAAAGTAGTGAGAAACGAGAGAATAAATCCTGAGAATAAACATATTTCTAGGTTACGGTAGTCGTCGTTGTGGGACCTTCGGCCCAGGCCACCGGCGTTTCTTTTCCACAGCTCCAGTGTTTTGACCAGAATAATACTTGAGATTTCAATAAATGTGTTATCAGACTTCGAAAATATTTTCGCCCGTAATAAAAACAACAAAATCACTTCTCCTCAATTTGCATATTTCTCCAAGAACATTGACATTTTATAGTAAGAGAATCTGCAAAACACTTTTTGGCTCTCTAGATTTCTTATGAATCAGTGCCAACAAGCCAGACCAACAATGAAAGCTCAAAGTGAGAAAAAAACAGATGGCAGGTTTCTCGGAAAATTAATTTTCAGATGAGGGGAGATGGAATAGGAAAAGATGTGGGAAGACTTGTCAAGAGAGGAGAGTGAGCAATGTGACTTTAATAACTTCCGCATGTTGACTTCATTGTTTTCTAGAGATGATGATTCTACTTGCAGCATCTTTGGGAATAATTGTTTGATGATTCAGATGGACTGTTTACAGACTGAATTCATATCTTAAAGCCTGAAATATAACATTTCGACAACTGTTAGAAGAGCTATGATTCAGATGTTTCCTTTTCAAATGTTTCTTGAGGAAGAAAATTTAATAGTTCTGGGAATTTATTTGGCCAACTTTATTTCAACTAGCGTTGACTTTTTGTTACCGATGTCAGCTTTTCCGCCAAATAATTCGGAGGGTACAAGAATTTCGGGGTACTTAACAATTAAAGGGTACAAAATTTACAAATCGAATCCATTTCTCGAAAATCGAACCCATTCTGGTATACTGTGTCCCTAAATGTTTTGTACCCCTAAACGCCAATGACCAAAAATATTTAAAATTTGTATTTTGAGTCAAATTAGAATAATTAATATGTAGCTCGATTCAAACCATTATTATTATGAGTTTTCTCTGTTTTTATTGGAATCCCAAGCAACCAAGATCACCACATCCTCCCACTCCCGAATTTTCAATTCAAAATTAACATTTTCGCGCATTCCTTTCTCATCAATTTCCCCATCATCTCACTTCTCTACTCTGATGTATGTTCATTTATTGTAGTCTACAAACTGGCTACTATTCTCTCGCACTGTGTTGGAGATGAGTGTATACGCGGCTTGAGATAGTGAGAACACACAAGAGAATGAAGAGAACCACTGGCAGTTGAGCGAAATAGTGTGTGAAAGATGGAGGGCATCCACGCTGCTTAGCGACGTCTGCGTTTCGTTTCTTGCTGCTAAGAACCATCTGCGTCTCTTTTGTAACTGACCAGCAGACAGCACCCCGAATCGATTCGTTTATTTCTGCTCGTTGCTTCTGTTCCTACGTTTTCATTCGAAAAATGTCTACGTATATTCAAGTGAACATTTACAATCAAACTTTGGAAGTTTTGAAGATGAGAGGATTGGATTTACAATCAATTCTGGTGAGTGTTTTGTGTGAGAGTTAAAAAAATAACATTATAGTATGAGTGTATTATCAGATAGTATGGCGACAATCAGGAGGTTTTAAATTTTAATTCTTATTAGGAAAATAAAAAGATTTGCAACAGATTGAGAGAGTCTTCCCGATTAATTAATTAAAATTAAGACAGAAATTTCATATAATCCATAAACCACTTTTCAGAAGACCATAGGATGTCCGGATACATGGATCACGGAAGTTCCGATAATTACTTCTCCTCAGGTTGCTCCGAAACCATCGACACCTCCACCTGTTCCAAAAGTTTCGATTGCACCACCAACTATGAGTCACTCGTTTCCCACGGATCCCATGCATCAGCTGAGAAGACCATTCAAAAGTATTTCTGCTGAAATTGGGCGTGTCGAACCCTTGATTCTGAATGATGCTCTTAGAACATCGCCCATGCCAGGACCATCTCAACCGAGGAAAAGAACAGCGTCGGTGAGTTGAAAACATGGTTTAAAAATGTGGTTAACTGACAAATGTATAGGGCATAAGAGGATTGTTTGACGACTGGGACCCAACTGCCAATCTTGAAGCTCCTGCCACTTCTTCTACTCCACCAGCGAATGAATCTAAAGAAAGTACTCTGAAAGTTCCAAAAGAAGAAATAATGAATGAAACTGAAGAACTCAATGAGACCACTGTACTAGATGAGCATGAATTGGCAGCTGAAAGAGAAAGAAATCTACTTGATGAACTTTTCCAACAAGATAGAAGCAATATGGTAGTTGAGAAGTCAAAGAGTGCCGACGATGTAGAAACTACGAATATGAACTATGTGATCTCTTGCAACTATCCGGTAAACCTTTATAATCCAAAACCCATTTTTTATATGCAATTTTCATTTCAGAATTGTGGTCTCAAGTACAATTGGCGTGTGAAGTATGGAAAACTCCGACTTTTCGACCATGCGATGACCCATTCGAATCGAAAAATACCATGCAAACTTTGCGGATTCGAATGCACAAATATCAGTAGAATGAGAGCTCATTACACGAAGGCTCATCCAACTGAACGAATGGAAGGATACGGAATGAAGTCGCTGGTCAGTGGAGCAGATGGAGACTCAGATACACAAGTAGGAGAGGAAGAACTGAAAGAGTTGTGGAATACCTGTTACTCGGATTCGATTCATTTGGTTGGTCATGCCACTGGATTTGTGGATGGAGAAAAGTTCAGGAGGATGACTAAAAGTAGAAAAATGGAAAGAGAAGTCAGAAGTTCCATAGCGGCCATTTATAATCCTAATAATACCAAGGGTAATATCTGAACCTGTTTTCTGGTAATAAATAATTTTTAGTGTCTTAATCGAATATTTATTTATCCTGAAGAGTTAAAATATAACAAGGTGCTTTTCACAATTTTAGTAAACCAGGTTGAAGTTTTCGATATTAAGATACTGAGCAGCGTCCTCAGTGGCAATCAACCAATCGTGCTCTGTCATTGAATATTTTACAGTGTCCATGACCTGAAATAGAACGTCACCTTTTGAGAATTTTCCTCTAAATCCCCCTACCTTCTGTCCAAACTCAATATTGAAGTACTGACGGAAAACTTCATAAATCAGTGCCAACTTCTCATCTTCAGTCTTTCCATTAGCCTTTCCAGTAACTTCAGCTCGATCCTTCTCCATGGAATCACCCATAAAGTTTTGAACAGCATCCATTGAATGGAAGAAGATAACCTTCAATTGTTGGAATCCTCCGAATCCTTTCTGTGCTTTTTGTATCGAATCCCAGCTTTCTGATTTTTGTTCAGCTGTCAATGTGTTTAGGATTGGCTTGTACATTTCTGAAAAGACAAAGTTTAAGAGAATACGTAAGAAAGTAAAAATTAGACCTTTTGCCATTGCTTCCAAAGTACGAGACTTGCGAACAACAACTGAAAACTCTTTGAACAACTGAAACAACGATATATCGGAAGCTTCTGGATGTAACCCTTACTGTTTTCATCTGATCTTTTGTCAACCAAGTGGAAATTTCCGGATAGACTTGCTCGATAAGAAGATCGAGTTGCTCGGAACTCTTGATCCCATTAGTGGGATAGGTAACGGAAAGACCGACAATAAGAGAGAAAAATAGGATATGTTTCATGGTCAACTGCCAAAAGGAATGACTGAAAAAAATTGGGGAAAAGGAGCCAGGTGACACAGGGAAGGGATCACTGAAATCCGCTTAGGGAAGGTTATGTTCGGCGAGGGGAGAATAACAGAAGGATAGTCTGTCATATTTTGAAGTTTGGTCTTTTAATTTAAACAATGGGTTTGAAATTTATTGAATGATCACGGGTAATAAAAATTTCTAGATAAAGAATTGGCTCGGATTGAATACAAAATGAGATGAAAATTCCAACGAAAGTATGAAGAAGGAATTGAAAGTATATCGAAGAATAATTAAAAGCAATTAATCGGTTGTCCGGGAGTCCACATCTGAAAAAACAATCACAAATTCTTCTTAAATAATTTGTGTCCGACTTTACACATTTTTAGTTTTCAAAACTACAGACCCTGATTAATAAAAAATTCCCCACTCTCCATGACATTAGATATCCTTTCAAGTAGTCCTTTCCAAATAATATTTGCATTCTCGAGAATTTTCCATATTTTGACTCATTTCTTGGCATTCTTTTTGTACCCCAGATGTCGTTTCGTTCTGATTTTTTCCTCTCAAGTCAAGAGAAATTGGTTTTTTTTGGCTCGTATACAACCAGGAGAATTTCTCATTCTCAACTTTCAATGAAATGAAGATTTAGGCTGCAAGATAAAATTTGTAGTAGACATAATAAAAAGAGGAGAATAAAGGTTAAGATGAACAAAACTGCCAGTACGGGTATCTTTCTTATAATGTATAGTTTTTTATCTAGAATATCCAATCCTACAGTACCGGCCATTAAGATTTACAAGAACACAGGGTAATGGCTGCGCATGGTATATGCGTTGGCGCGGCGCCTCATATGGACGACATAGGTACACCGTTTGCGCGCCATCGAGATCGGGCATGACGCGTCCATATTTCATCTACAATTTCAGGTCGTATTGGCGATGGATATATCTTATATGGATTAATTCATCTAACTATAGTTGTAATAAGATGTGATTTTGTTCAGATCTTCCAATATCGTTCATTTTCCCTTTCAGATTTCACAGAGTGACCATTTTTCCAGTTTTCCCAGAATTTTCTAACAGCAAGAAAAATTATGGCAGGAAATTAAAAATATCTGGATGATATAACATAATAAATTTTTCCTTCAAAACTGCGATATAGAAAAAAAATTCAACAAAGTCTTGAAATTGGCGTTAATTCGCATAATTTTGTTTTCGAAATAATTTTGTGTTTCTCGGATTTTTTCCTACTTTTACTTCGTAATACCGTAAAACC